AGACCTCTCCTGACAGCCTGCTGCCCCCCTCAGCGTGTACTTCGTCATCGATCTGCCTGTCTGCTCCCCACTCTGTCTCTGGTGAATCCTCTCGCTGCCCCTGAGCCTCTGGCCTGTACCCTAGTTCTGTATGCACCAGTAAATAAACCAAAACAACTTTTTTCCTTTATTTCCCACTCAGTCTCAGGAGTTGCTTTAGCCGAGAATTATCTTCTTGTATGTCTCCATTGCAAAGACATTATAAAATTTACAACTCTAAGGGACTGAAAAAGGATGTAGATTTTCTCTAAAAAGGAATTCAGAGGCATATTTGCCTATTATCAAAATTCTAGGGTAGCTACTATTTGTGTTCCCTTTTATTCTTAATTACAGGACAGTCCAGTGATTTCTTTTTAATGTGGGCCCAAAATATATGTCAAAGGCCTGTGCATTTTTAGACTTTTGCCAAAGGGCTTTCTTGGTCATCAGTGTATAATGAACTCACTCTTACTTGAGTGCCTTTTGAAGTTCTCAAATTTTGTGCTAAATCTCATCTCTACTTCCTAATTGTTGTTAAAGGCATTGATTTTTTTCTTACATCAGATCAGGCAAGCCATTCTCCCCATCTTTTTCTCTCTGCCCCCAGGAGTGTGTTCGGATGTTCCCAGGAGTACCAATAGGTCATGTACTTAGGATAAAACTCTCTAAAAATACTCTCAAAGATAAAAGTTATAAGCTTCAAAGGCAAACCTATTTTGATGTAACTTCAAACCAATATGCCTTTCTATGGATTTAAACAAATCAGCCTTTTACCGCTTAACTTTGAAAGCAAGAGGCATCCCCAATTCAGTGCAAAAGATACAACCCTCTCAAAATCCACACCCAATCCCAGAGATAGCTTAAATAAACAGAGATCTTCATTTTCATGGGGTGGTTAAAACAAAACAAAACAAAAAACCTCCAATCTTTCACTGAAGCAAGGCACCTACATTACAGATCTGTTAATCTGTGTTCCTGAAAAGGTCCTGTTGGAATGGGGTTTTCCCAGAATAAACAAGGTAATAAGAAAAGCGCTCCTACAGATTGGAAACCCTTATTAATACCACCTCTGTGAGCGCTGATGTGGTTGCACTGTGTTTGTGCAGTGACTTTGCTAGCCAGCTAACTCACATGGGACAACCCGCACCCACAACCAGAGAAAGCCTGAGGTAACTGTTCCTAGCTACAAACCTACACGCTCAGGACATGAATACAAGCTCACTCTGTGATTCTTCTGCCTTATGTCAAATGGCACAAAAAACAGAGGCAAAGGAAAACAGTGACTGTTTCTACAAGAGGCTAAGGACCAAACTACCCATAGGTACACAAACAAAATTTAGGAGAGTTACAATTCCAAGGGTGAATTCCTACTAAAAATAGAACAGGTGAGAAAGTTGTGTTTTCTTCCCTGCTGCAGCAGCTGGTGGTCCTGTCCCCTGCTTTGTGCTTTTCCAATATCTGTTCAATTATGTCTAGATGTTTGTACATTCATGGGTGGGAGGGGAATACAAAGAGGAATGAAATAGTGTTTTATTGGTTTGCAGAGGATCCAGCAATGTATGTCTGCTGTGTTATATGGTCCCTGATGTGCTAACTGAAATGTAATCTCTGCTGACAATCAAACATGCAGATAGGTTTCTGTTTGGTTCCTTCTCTGGGCTTAAATTACAACCTTAAAAAAAAAAAAAGAAAATATTGATATAAAATTGACCAATAATAATAATTGTACCTCTTAAGAAACTTATTTTCTTATAATTGATATTTCACATCTCATTGTGCAACTCACCAAACAAAAATTTAGTGTCAGAGGATCTCAGAATTGTCAGCTTTTCACTTTGAGGCAGGATGGCTCAAACCATTTCACATTGATAAATGTGCTCAGCCTTAAAGACTCCTGCAAAAAGCTGTTTGTCACATCTTTTCACAAACTGCATGTTTTAAATATATGTTTCATGTGATAAAACACACGTTGGATCTTAATCTAATGGGATCTGTACAGATGGTAGGAAGTTCATACTGGTCTAATATTGTGATGGAGGTGTGGGTACCCTTTATCCGACATCAAGAAATGTATGTCTAATTATTGTAAATTATTACAAGTATTATAATTTTGTCACATATAAATATCTATTTAAATTCAAATCCCAATACATTTGACTTAATTAAAATTAAAATAAAATAGCAGTAAGTTTTTTTTATTCTCCATTTGGTAAATTATAGGAAGATTGATAATAGTGTTGACAGGAAGTTTAAGGGATTGGGCTTTGCTCTAGAGATGACACATTTATACCACCTTTCCAGAGAAAATTTGATAACCTATTTTAAAAGTATAAGCCATTTTTCTCCCTGGTGGCACAACAGGTTAAAGCACCGCATTATGAAGCTCTCCAAGCCACTGCAGCATGAGTTCAATCCCCAGCCAGGGAGCTGACCCATATGGCACAGCAGACCTCTCTTGATCTGACCCCAGTTCTGTAAGCATAAGTAAGTCTTTAAAAAAAAAAAAAAAAAAGGTATAAGCCATTTACCCAGAAGTTCCAATTCTAGGGATTTTTATTCAGAAGGACCAAGGATGGGCCCTCCCTACTGGCTCAACTGGTTAAAGCACAGCACTGTGAAGCTATCTGCAGCCACTGTAGCATGAGTTCAATCCCAGGCCAGGGAGCTGACCCACATGGCACAGCAGACCTCTCCTATCTAGCCCGCTGCTCCCTTCAGCAGTTTATTTCAGTCAATCTGCCTGTTCTCCTCCCCACTCTATCTCTGATGAATCCTTTTACCCCATTGCACCTCTGGCCTATACCCCCAGTTCTTGCATACATAAATAAATAAATCTTTTTTTAAAAAGAAGCACCAAAGAGGTAAACATACAAATACAAAAGATTTCTGTTGGTCGCTTAAAATGGCCAAACAAAAAACAAGTGGACACCACCTACAAGTATTTAGAGAATCAGTGCCTTAAATTACTATACAAATAATGTGATACTAATGACTAGAGTCATTTAAATGGATCTTGTAGATCCATTAGAATGCCAGGTTAGAGCTCTAGATCTCAGGTATAGATCTTGTAATTGATATTTTTTTAAAAATCTGTAATATTTAAATAAAAACCAATACTGAAACAGTACCACTCCATTTCTGTGAGTAGACACATCCATGAGAACGTGTGTAGGAAAGTCTTGAAACCTCGTTACCAAACAGTGAATGGTGGTCATCTCTGCAGCGGAGAGGTCATGAGGAACTTGCTTTTACTTTATTTACATTGTTAGATAAAAAACAGGCATGTATACTTTTGTATCATAAGTGCAATTTTTAGGTAATGGAGCAGTGCGGTCTGATACTCACTGTGTCGAAGGGAGTCACACAGTGGCCATTGGTGCTAATTGTTCTAGCAGAGAAGCAAGCTGTTGCCAGACCCCTGTTTCCACCCTGGATTCCACACCTCAGTT